GTAGAACAGGGATGTGCGTTGTGGGGTATGAGAGTGTTAATTCCACAGTGGTTTAGAGGGCAAATTTTGAATGAACTGTGTGGTTGCCTAAACTGGATGGTGAAATAGAAATGATGGTACGTGAGTGCTCTGTTTGTCAGAATGTTAGGAGTATGCCACTGAGCGCAGAAACTTGACACTCAATTAATCTAAATCCATAAAATCGGTATCCTCCATCAATGTTCTTGGATATTGTGTAAGGAGTGGTACCATAATGCCAGACCCTAAGAGGATGCATTCTCTCCAAGAATTGCCGCCACCCACAAACGTATGATCTTTGCAGAGGGCACTGGGAATGTTCGCCTATTATGCCAAATGGATCCCCAATTTCTCAGACATGATTCAACCTTTGATAAGAAGTAAGACGTTCACACTAGGCGAAGCAGCCTTGACAGCATTTGAACTTTTAAAAAAGCGAATTGTGGATGCAACTCTACAATCTGTCGATGAGGACCTGCCATTTGTAGTGGAGTGCGATGCCTCAGAAGTAGCTATTTCAGCAGTCTTGAACCAAGGTGGCAGTCCTGTTGCATTCATGTCCAGGACTTTCCAGGGTAGTGAGCTACATTACCCAGCTGTAGAGGAAGGGTCTTCTGCCATTATAGAGGCAGTGCGCACATGGAGCCATCTCCTAGCCAGGCGTCATTTTGTGCTGATCACTGACCAACGCTCTGTAGCATTTATGCTGGACAGCAGAAGACGAACTAAAATAAAGAATAATAAAATACAAGAATGGAGGTTGGAGCTAGCATTCTTCAGCTACACCATACGGTATCGCCCTGGAAAGGAAAATGTGGCTCCTGATACGCTGACCGTTCTACTGATAATTGACATCTCCTTAAATGATACGGTTGAAAGTCTAAGGATGGACAAATCTCTGGCCATCTGTTTTATATATATATATATATATATATATATATATATATATATATATATATATATATATATATATATATATATATATATATATATATATATATGTATGTTTATATGCTGCCTTTATTGAATATATATATTATATATTATGTTACTTCTTACCAAAGTCAGAAAGTGTTTAGGCTTGTGTAAACACGAAATGTGTTAGGCACGTTGTAACCAAGAACAGAGAATGAACGCCCAGCCAGACCGACCATGTGCTTGTCATTCTCCCATTAAATAACGCAAGATACTACAGCATTGAACAGTTTCTTTTCCTCGGTGTTCACAAGAGAGGATGCAATTAACCTTCCTGCGGTTGAGGACAGACGGTTCGACGCAGCACTGACCCACATTGTGTTCACAGAAGAGGGTATTAGAAATAAACTGTCCAGGCTAAAGGTCCATAAGAGTCCCGGCCCTGACATGGTGCATCCTAGAGTGCTAAGAGAGTTGTGCAACGAGCTTGCCGAGCCCCTGAAGATCCTGTTTTATAAATGCCTGGATGAACAAAAGGTCCCCAGTGAATGGAAAGTGGCTTATGTGAGTCCTATCTTCAAGAAGGGCGATCGTCACTCCATGAACAACTATAGACCGGTGAGCCTGACCAGCATAATATGTAAAGTACTGAGAGTATTATCAGAGATGCCGCAATGGAATTTCTACTATGAAATAACCTTGTAAAGGATTGCCAACACGGTTTTATGATGGGGCGCTCCTGCTTAACACAATTGCTCAAGGTATTGGATATGTGGACCTATATTCTGGAACGGGGTGGTAATTTCGACAATATTTACTTCGATTTTGACAAGGCTTTCGACAGTGTACCCCACGAAAGGCTGAAAATCAAACTGGAAGGGTACTGAATTCGGGGAAATGTCCTAGCGTGGATAGAAGACTTTCTACATGACCGCAAGCAGTGTGTGGTGATTAATGGCACGAAATCATCATCCGTACCTGTCACAAGCAGGGTACCACAGGGCAGTGTATTGGGCCCAATGTTGTTGTTTTTTATTTCATAAATGACATGCCTGACGTTGTACACTCATCCATATAAATGTTTGCCGATGACGCCAAATTATTTCGGGAAATCAAGAACCAAGCAGACTGTGAAAAGCTGCAGAAGGACCTCTGTGGGTTCCAAGAATGGTCGAAGAAATGGCAGCTGAAATTCAATGTCACGAAGTGTACGAGGATGCACCTAGGGCATACAAACGGTAAGGAGGCATATCATATGAACCAACGGGATGAAGAAACTGCACTATTTGGGACTGAATGTGAGAGGGACCTAGGTGTGTATGTTGACAATGAGCTGAAGTTCTCGGGCCATTGCGAGAAGAAGGTAAATCAGGCAAATAAATTATTGAGTCCTATAGGAAGGTCGTTCAGATATTTATTCGGTCCGTCCCTCGTAACGGTCTTCAAGAGTGAAGTGCTTCCCCATCTGGAGTACTGTCACCCCGTCTTGTCCCCGAGATATGCTAGGGACTGTCAGTTGGTTGAAAATGTTCAAAGGAGGGCCACCAGACTGGTGCCTGCACTTCGGCACCTCAGCTACCCTGAGAGATTGGAGCGCCTGAAGTTGCCTAGCTTATACTACAGACGGGCAAGGGGTGACGTAATTTAGGTGTACAAGCATCTCAAGGGGCACTACTCAGTCGAGTGTCCTTACTTGGAGCTGGCGGACGCTCGCCCCACAAGCGGTCACAGCTCAAGATTGAAGAAGCCGCAAGTCCAGAAAACTGTGAGGGCAAACTTTTTCGGAGTGAGGGTTGTGAACTCTTGGAACAATCTACCAGAGAGTGTTGTGACGGCACCGAGTGTGAGCTCTTTCAAGACAAGACTTGACCAACACTGGAGCAGGTTTAGGTACATTCAGGAGCCGGTGCATGCCCAGTACTTGCCAACAGTGCGTAACAGACGTGACCGACCGCCCAAGCGGCTGACGAGCCGATCAGTGGTGAAGAGGATAAAAGAAACATATGCTTTCGGCGTCTCGCTCCCCTCTCTACCATGTGCAGGGGTTCCCTTGGTGCCACCTTCTCTGTGCTTCTCACCATGTACAAGTCCTTTGTCCGTTCCTTTTCGACTACGCCGCCCCTGCCCTCGTCAACATTAGTCGGACTGCTGTCAACCGTCTCGAAGTTATCTGAAGGAAAGCTGCTTGTATCATCCTTGGGGCCCCTCAGTGGACACCCTCTACTTTTCTATATACCGAACTTGGTCTTTCCCCCTTACAGGATCGTGTCCAGGAGTTTTACCTAAAAATTACTGTTTCCATTCTACGGGATCCCCATGGCAACTATGTCCAAGCCAACTTGACTCCTGCTGTCCGAGGCCGACCTCCATCTAGAAGACAGTGGCGTGAGTCACTCATCCGACCCCTTCAGGAAGACGACCTCCTACCTGATATTGTTGTCATCCCTGCTGTTGGTTCGTCTCCTTCTCCCTGGCTGGATTTTCAACCTGAAGTGATTGCCCTCGGTGGACCGCTCCCGAAATCCCACGTGAACTCTGTTATTCTCTACAAATACCACCTCTCCAGGATCGTCCGACTGGTCCCCAGATAGGGTCGTCCTCTACACTGATGGCTCTGTTGACCCCGCTACAGGTAGGGCCGGGGCTGGTGTCTAAATCTCCCGTCCTGATGTCCCTGAGCCTATCAAACTTTCTCTCAGTTTCTGACGGGGCATCCTCCACTCAGGCTGAATTGATAGCCCTCCTTGCTGCCCTTCTCGCTGAGGAAGAAGCCGATGGCTTCTGCCCCTTGCTTGTCTGCTGCAATTCCAGGTCTGCTCTCAACACTTCAGGATGCAAGCTGTCCTGTGACATTCCTATGGATACCCAGTCATGTCGGCATCTTGGGGAATGAGGCAGCAGATGGCCTTGCCAAGACTGGCTGTAACAAGGCCACACCTAACTACGTTGTTCCTCGAACACTTTTACAGCTTAGGACCCAAATTCGCCGCAACTCCGTAAACTTGCTGACCTCTCGTTTGTCTATGGGAAAGGGTCACGGAAAAGGGACGTGATTGCTGCCCGTATCATCATTGGGTATGACTGCTTGGGAGACTGGTATCCCCGCATCCCCTGAGCAACGCTCTTGTGCATTATGCAGAAGACCCGACAGCCGCACCCTTGTTCACTACCTCCTAAGATGTCCACACACACACACACAACGCTTCCGTGACGCCTGCTTGACCACCACTCCACGACCCCCTGACGGAGACACGATGATCCTCTCCATACTGGCCACATTTTATGTAAATAATATTGATGATGTGTTTAACGAATATCCTTCCTTCCTCAGGCTTTAGTAATCACCTTTATAATATTTATATATGCTTATGACACTTGTCAGATGCTTCTGGTGTTATTGTACAGGGGTACCTAGTGACAGGACTAGGATCCCGGTTCCTCTATCAAGAAATAAATATTTTGAAATTGAAATTGAATTGATAACCCGCACGACCTCGGTGTCGTCTGCCTTTATAGAAAACGGCATTTATTTAGGGGTGACTGCTGTAACAAATTCAGAGTTTAGTTAAATTGCTAGTGTAGCCTAAATTTTTTGAACTTAGATGACTTGGGATTCCAGTTCACCCCTCTGGAAGGGGTGCTAGAGGGAGTCCTCTGCTCGTACACTAGCTCAGCACAGCCACCAAAAATAGGCTTTTCAATCCTTAAAAGGCTTTATTATATTGAAAACTATTCTTCAGATTTATACAAAATATCTTTATTTTTTCCATGTGTGTATTTTAATGTTTTACTTTGAATATAGATCGTAAATTGTGTATTTCCATGCAGTAAATACAAATTGGCGTTGAAAATTCGAAATTCAATAGGACGGCGGCATCGTCTTCGATTAATAAGCAATGTCAACTATTTCTTAGAAAAATCTATTCCGGTAATTCGTTTTTTACATATTATTATCAAATTATAGTAATAATAATAAGATGAGAATAATAGTAAATTGATAAAGGATGGGATGTAATCATTCAGAAGCTGGCCAGTGGCCACAGCGGCTGTCTGCCACACATCCGGACACAACCAACACAACAGTGAGTGAGTGAGACGGGCTGGGTGGGGTTCAAAGTAACTCCAGAGTTTATAATCAAAATGTTCAATATTCTCTCCACCATCGTCTTTTCGGCGCTTTTCACAGCAGGTTAGTATTATTCTTATGTACTAAAACTTTTTTTCGAACCAGAAAAGTATTTTACTTGAAAATATCTCCAATCGTCCTTGTGATTAGAATTTCACACCTGTTGTTTTTGTATAGGTAACCTTAATATTCGTGTTGTGTTTAAGTCATCGAAATTGTTTCTTGAATCAAATTTTTCACTTTAAGAGGCAAACACGTGGGTAGATTTGCACTGTCACACCACACTTAAAAAGTAAAAAATATATTTTTCTAGTGTATTTATGTGTTTAAACCGAATATGACCTTTATTCCGGGCGGAAATTAGCCGTTTTTTTTATCGATTTTTTTTTCGTTGGACGTTTTCCGAAAAAAAAATCATGGCAAAAGATACCAAAAAAAAAAAAAAAAACTAGGAAAACAAAAACCTAACCTAACTGAACTGACGGTAAATTTTTCTTGTAGCACCGTTCACTTGAAGCAAGTTAAAAATATATTTTTCTAGTGTATTTGTGTGTGCTGAGACCGAATATGACCTTCCTTTTTGGCGGAAATTAGTCGGGTTTTTTTAGCGATTTTTTTTCGTTTGACGTTTTCCGAGAAAAAAAAGTGCCTCAGCGACTAAAAAATACACAATAAAACACTAGAAAAACAATAACCAAACCTAACCTAACCTAACTTAACTGACTCTCACCATATGATGGAATCACCTATTTCTTACCTTATTGGCCTGGTTCTTGTTCGTCGTTGCATTCTGGGATTCTTACCCAACGCCACATATGTTGGTCTTTGCGATATTTACATTCCGTCTTGCTCTTAGTACACTTTACTGAGGTTGGAAGAACACCATGCGATCGAAAAAATGCTATAGTTTCTTCGTTTTTTTTCAAAAAAATCGCAATCTGCTCCATATACTTTAAGTGACACCCATCGCAGACTTCCATGGTCGGAACTGAACTTGAATTTCAAAATATGAGAGACGAAAGAGAATACTCGAATTTGATTGGGTCAAAAATACCGCGAATTGAACCTAAAAACATTTTAATTGGTTTCAAAATAAAAAAGGCTTTTGATTGGCTGCGTGACGTGTACAGCAACGCATGCGCAGGATGATTTATGAAGGGGACGCAGGAGACACGCAGTGTTGGAGGAGAGGCAGACGATAATGGCCGGATGTTAATGGAAGAAAATAGAAAATATTTTGGAAGAGCTATCTCCGTTATTATACATTTCCGCCGGTAATGTAATAGATGAAAATTATCTTATAATTAGATGTCTTACTCGAATATGATAATATATTAGTGGTAGGAATGAACGGTGCTACAAGAAAATAATACCGAACTGACTGACCATATGATGGAATCACCCATTTCTTACCTTATTAGCCTGGTTCTTGTTCGTCGTTGGATTCTGAGATTCTTACACAACGCCACATGTGTCTTGCACTTAGGACACCTTACTGAGGTTGGAAGAACACCATGCAATCGAAAAAATGCTATACAGTCAACCCTCGCTTTACGCGGTCCCACATTCCGCGTTTCCACGTTAACGCGGTGCCCTGCCAGAACCTAACGTGCTCACATTACGCGGTGCGTGAACCCCATTACGCGGAGAGTGTCCGGTGCGACGCTATTTTTAGATTCGCCCCACCCGCCTGCCTGCCTGTGCTCTCGCCTCTCCCTCCTCCTCCCTCCCTCCTCCTCCCTCCGCCTGGGCAAGCCGTGTGGTAAGGTTGCGCAGTGTGTCTTTGTTGCGTTATCACTGACGTCATATGACGTATCGGACTGTGATTGGCCATGCATCCCTACCCCCCTCTGCTGCTAGCTGTAATTGGTTTAAAGTATTATGACGTGTCCACCCGGGGGAGGGAGGGAGGGAGGAAAGACGATGCTTGACCTAGCCGCGCCAGTTTCATCCCTCCACGCCAGACCGTGTAAACGTGTATCCATTGTTCTGTAAAATGGATTCCGCCGGACCACCGCCCCCAGAGAGAAACCTTTCCTTACCTGGACCCAGCGGCACTAAGCCAAAGAAGACACTACGTTCCTTAAGCTACGAGGTGAAGTATACAATCATCCAAGAGTTGGAGAAAGGAACAAGGCAGGTTGATTTGGCGCGCCAGCATGGTGTGAATGAATCTACGATTCGAACAATAAAGAAGGATGCAGCCAAGATAAAGGAGCACATGAAGATCACAAAGTCTACAGGTGCTTCTATGATCAAGTATTTTCACAACCAGGTGCTTCTCAAGACAGAAAAATTACTTGTGAGGTACTTGGTGCGTCAGGCGCGACGGAACATGGCGGTCGACACACGATCTGTTAAGGAGTACGCACGTGAACTGTACATTGCAGTGGCACGAAAGATGGGAATTACAGAGCCCAAACCCTTTAATGCTTCCTCTGGGTGGTTACAGAGGTTTAAGATCCGGAACAAGATCACCAATATAAACATTGGTGGTGAAGAAGCGAGTGCTGACCGTGCTGCGGCTAGGGAATTTCCTCCGTTTTTACGTGAGATTATGGAGGAAGGACAGTACAGTGACGACCAGGTGTTTAACATGGACGAATCTGGTCTTTTCTGGAAAAAGCTACCTTCCAAGTCCTTCGTTGTAAAGAATGCCAGCAAGATTCGGGGCCGGAAGATGCAGAAGGAACGCATCACCGTCCTGTTTACCACCAATGCCTCTGGTACCTGTAAGCTCAAGTTATCGGTGATCCACACAGCACGCAAGCCGCACGCCTACAAAACCATGGACATGACCAAGCTAAATGTCCACTGACTGACCGCACGTAAGGCGTGGATGTTCTCTACACTGTCCCTCTCCTGGTTTGATGACTGTTTTGTTCCCGATGTAAAGAAATTCTGTGAGCGACAGAATGTGCCATTCAAGATTTTGTTGCTGCTGGACAACGCACCAGGACACTCGCCCCTACTGTTAGATCGTCACCCCAACGTAAGAGTGGTCTTCCTTCCTCCCAACATTACGTCTATATTACAGCCCATGGACCAAGAGTTAATCTGAAATGTAAAAGCTGCATTCTCTACGAAAAAATTCAAACTCCTGAACGATTACACCAACACCAGGGAAGAGTTGCGTAACCTGAGTGACACCGCCACCGATAGCAAGAGCGAAGAAGATGAGGATCAACAGTTGGCACAGCAAAAAATAGTGTTCAAACAATTCTGGAGAGTATTTAACATCAAGAAAGCTGTGGACTTCTTGGTGGAGTCATGGGATCAGCTGTCTATTGCTACAATTCGTCACACATGGAAGACATGTGTTGCATGGAATACCAGGTGAGAGGAGGAGTCAATCTGTGACTGGTGAGGTTCAGACTATTGCAGTAGCAGTGGACCTTGCCAGAGAAGCTGCGCAGAGTGTTACAGTTACAGGCTTCTCCGAGACCACCAACGACGACATCCTCGAGGTGATAATGGAACCTGATGTGACTACCGAGGAGATGGTACATGATGATGACGACGTCAGTGAAGAGGCAGGTGGTGCGTCATCCCAAGAAGAACAACACTTATCCCATAGTAATGTTAGGGGTGCCATCGAGTGTATCGAGAAAGCCAAGCTCCTCCTTTCCGACGACCCTGACGCAAACAGGTATGAAATCTTCACTACCCAGCTGTTGCAGACTATGGAGCCCTACATCAAGGTGTATCACGACAACATCAACACCAGCCGTCAGCAAAGCATAACAGATTTCTTCGCCCGCAACCCACCACAGCCAGCCCAAGCCAGTGATAGTGACAGTGAAGATGACTTTGAGGGATTTGTCAGGGAAGCCCTGACAACTGTAAGTGACAGTGATGCACCTAGTAATGGTGATTCACCTGAGGGCCAGTAGCCTGCCCTCTGCCTCGGAACCAGCCTCCATCCCCGTACGCCGACCCATCTCTTCTACTAACGTAAGTGTTCCACCTAACTTTTAGTTTTCCTAGCCTAACCTTTATTTTTCCTATGTTAACCTTTATTTTTCCTAACCTAACCTCTTCTATATTACTTGTTTTTTCATACCATCATAAAGTTAAGATAAAATTTTTACTACAACATAGTTGTGTGTCGTCAAAAAGTGGAGTTTGGGGGTCGGCCCGGACTCTATTTCAATTAATCCCATATGTTATGTTATTCACTTTACGCGTTCCTCACTTTCCGTGGGACCCTGCGGGTTACATTAACCGCGTAAAGTGAGGGTTGACTTTAGTTTCTTCGTTTTTTCCCCAAAACTCGCAATGAGCTCCATATAATTTAAGTGACACCCATCGCAGACTTCTATGGTCGGAAGTGAATTTGAATTTCGAAATATGAGACCCAAAATAAAACTCAAATTTGATTGGGCCAAAAATACCTCGAATTAAACCCAAAATCATTTTAATTGGTTGCAAAAACAAAAACGCTTTTGATTGGCCTTGTGACGTGTACGGGGACGCATGCGCATGATGATTTATGAAGAAGACATGCAGTGTTGGAGGTGGGGCAGGCGATAATGGCTGAAGATTAATGGAAGAAAATAGATAAAATTTTGGATACGCTTTCTCTGTTGTTATACATTTCCACCGGTAATGTAATAGACGAAAATTATCTTATAATTAGACGCCTTATTCGAATATGATAATAGATTAGTGGTAGGAATGTGTGGTGTGTAAATGCAAAAATACCAAAACGTGGGTATATTTTTGCAAGTTGCCCATGATGTCCCAAATATTTTTGGGTTCAGTTCTAGGTATATCTCGTCATTTCTAACAACTTTTTGTAATAACGTTTCCGACGCAAATAATTCATTTTCGAGAAAATTGGGTATTATTTTACTTTCGGACATAGTGAGCCCCAAAGTTATAAACTCCTGAAACATTTAGATCTCACTAGTCTGAGCATTTTGAATCCCATATATACCTGGCAAAAATGGATAATAGCGACACAATTGAATTTAATTGATTTTAAGTACTTTTCAGTCTTCGTCTATGTAATGGGATGTTATCGTCGTGAAAGTGTGCTAATTATGATAGTTTTTACATCA